AAGGTCTGAGCACACGGAGGTTCAGCTCTCATAGCCGCAGTTCTGCGGCCGTTCACGCTTAAAGCCTCAACCTTCCAAGCTAAACGGTACCAGCATCATTATGGAATCCTTAAGGGAGGGGGTTCTAAAGGGGGGTATATAACCAAGTAATCCCCAATTCTCCCTAGTACTCCCTTAGGTTCCCTAAAGCTCCCTAGGACCCTCCCCCCTTGAGCCACCCTCCCTTAAGGATGCAATAAGCATCAAGTAACGGGTTAGAAGTCTTCGGCGTTCAGGACAGAGAATTCCTCAAATCTGTGAGTCCCTGGAAGACACCACTTTTGATAGCACATGGCGCCTTTATGCGGACCCGGCTGTACAAGGCATAGTATGTAAGTTTTGGGCTTCTTTGAGGGTTTTATGGCTGGTACAGCACTCACACTCTTTCAGGGTTCCGCGAGTAGCTGCCGCAAGGGACAACTGTAGGTGCCAGGGCTCAGGTATTGGGGATGGACTCAAGCAACACAGCATGCTAGCAGCTGTTGTAATGACTGAGTGTTGACGACAAAGCAGTAAACATCCAACCATCGGCGACTATGACAGTGGGTGAAAAGAACTCATCGAGGATGGCTCCTTCAAGCGGCACAGCGATGCATGATAGCATTAAACCCTTTGAGCCACTTGCGGAAGTTCGCTTTACTGTCTATGACAGAGTCTAGGATGGACGTGATCCGGCGGAGTCTGTCAAAAGGCGCTCCGTTTGCGATGTGCTTACCAAGCCAGCATACATTGCCGATCGCGTGTTGATCTGTGAGGTCAACAAGAGGCTTCTGTTCCTGACCGTATGCGCAGCAATGCAGTGCTCGGCTCTGTCTGTCTGTGTTCAGAGTTCACACAGGGTTCGCAAAGGCCAACTCATGAGAAGTACGACAACCCATCAGAATTCAAGCTTTTCACTGCAGACCACCGTGGCATATCGAAATCAGGATGAGGCCGTGGCTGTGGCTCGTGGGGCCAGGGCGAGCAAGGGCAGCTTCTCTTTCATCATGTTCACAAACCTGCCCAGGTCTGCCCCAAACCCTAAACCCTAAACCCTAAACCTCTAAACCCGAGAAACCCGAAAGTCTGAACCCGAAAGTGCGGTCTGCTGAGGGCTTTCATTTCCTGTTGCGCTGAGAACACAGGCTTCCAGTTCCAGTGTTAGCGGCCACCACGCACATGGGAGGCTTCAACAAGGATAAATAGAAAAATATGCTATAATGTCCATAAATGCTAGTGCAACATACTGTAATACAGGCACTACGGTGTTTCTTCTCGCCGCTTCCATGACCGAATGTGTTTAGCAGTCAGAGCCCACAGTCTGGCGCCTGATTCTGGTGTAGAGGCTGTGGTACGTCGTGTGACGTGGGTCGTCGAACAGACTCTCCTCCGTCTTCCGGTTGAAATAGAACCTCGAAGGCGGATCTCCGATCAGACCCTGCGTTCTTGGAGTCAAGTAACCGAAGTAGAACCTCATGGCCAAACCTTCATGTTTCAAAAGCACTGACAGATATATAATATACATGTGTATATATATATATAGGGCTACATCGTTCGTTCTGGTTGGTGTGTGTGCGCCAAAACGCCACACGGTGACTGAGCATCGCAATACGATGCCTTGAGAGATTTAGGGCGAGATGCTACCAGGCAGTAAGACATGCTATCCACTGCTTCAGCAATGGATAGGCTTGCAAAACCCTACACCCTAAAACCCTCAACTCTAAAACCCGAAACCCTAAACCCTAAAACCCTAAACCCTAAACCCTACTAAGATGAAGACTTCTGGCCGGAGTCGTCGTAGAGCTCCATCCAATTGGCCCTTAGAGGGACGCGTCTTCTTGCGACGTTTAGGGTTTACACTCTCACAACTCGGACAAGCCACCACGCAGGGGTTCATAGGTGCAGAGGTCGGCGTGACACAATGAGTTGCGGATGCCTGCTACTTTCCAAAGCAACCACAAGGATGGAAAACAGGCCTTAGGGTTTAGGATTGTTGGGGGTCACTCCTCCAAAAGCTAAAGGCCCACAAGAATGGATCAAACTTCTATGCCTTTCAGAGATCCTTGAGGGTCTCTCATACTGCTGATGATAAAAATCACGCAGTACTTCGAGCACTTCAAAATGGGACTTTACCTGGGCTTTGAAGTAACCACGGAGAAAAAAGTATAGACTTGTATTTCATAATGGCTCCTTTAAGCAACAGATCCAAAAAAGTATTAAAGTATGGTACTCCAAAGCCCAGTTACAACATTCTCTATAACCGCAGCGGCCTTAAACATGAAAGAGCGTGGGATTCTAGCAAATGGGCAAGCCGGAAAAACTATTTATCCAAGCGTGTTCTCGCGGCCTGTATTTCTTTCCCACTCGCTTGGTTTTGGTGTGTTTATAGGGTCAACCCCAACCCCAGTATTTCGCAGAAGACCTTGAAAGAGAAGCCCTAAACCCTGCAGGGGGAGTTTGAAGCTTCCAGAGAAATCTAATGCTGGGGCCTTAATAATCAGCATAGGGTTTTGGGGCCCTGCATACTATACTTTTAATCAGGAAGCCCCAAAATAGTATAGGTAATCATTTAGGCTTCTATGTTAAAACCTGGGAGGGTTTGGGGTTGCCACGTTACATTCCCGAGGGCAGGACAGATTGGCGCGGATTTTCTCCTCCATTTCGGCCTTTCAGCTGTGTGGCTGTAGGAGTGCGTGTGTGTACTTTTGGAATGGGTACGTGTTGTGGTCTTTCGATGCCTTGTCAGGGCTTCTTAAAAGAAGGGGTCCCGTTCTGAGGGCTTTATCGGGCTCTTGTCGGGGTTTCTGACATGAAAGTCCCTTCCCAGGTTTTGCAAGGGCTTTGTAGAATTAAGGGGACATGTTCAGGTGTCCTTACCGTAAAAACCCGATTGCTCAAGATTTGCATTTTGACCCCCGGTTTTCGAAGGCGCGAATTTGCTTCCAGCGACACGGTAATGTAGGGGCCTGAATAATTAGAACAGGGTTTTGTGACCCAGTATACTGTACTAATAATAAGGAAACCACCAAAGTAGCACTTTTTGAAACCGGACTTAGCCCTTGCACTACACCCGAAACCCTATAGCCAAACCCTCAAACCTCGACGACTTTCTTGACACCTGTCTACTACTTTAGTTACTAATCGCAGGTTACAGCGCACGTACTCGTCGGCAGCTGGAGCTGCAGGCAAAGCGGTAACCTTTGGAGAAGGGCACCCTGATACCCTGATGTGTAGGAGTCTCAAGAGTATAGTTCTTTGTATAGTTAGCTAGGGACCATAAGGGGACATTTGGACTCTCTTGATTTCGGAGGAAGACCGGTTCAAACACTACATATTTCCCATAACCGCCAAAGCCCTTTAGAGGCTTCCCAAATCACTATAAAGACCTTTATTAACCCTCTGATTTTTTCTGCAGAAGCCTTCATGATTCGAGTATAGATAAGATAAGTATACAAGGACTTTACAACCACACAAGGACTATATAATTATACACGGACTATAACTGGATAATATCTCTATTTGTTCGACCCCTAAACCCTAAACCCCTAACCGTAACCCCTAAACCCCTAAACCCTAGTATACTATGGCACTCCAGAGATGGGATCCGTGAAACAAGAACACTGAACCCTAAACCCGACACCCACGACCCTCAAGCCTAAACTCATGAACACTACACCCTCAACCCTAAACCCTAAACCCTCCACCCTGAGCCCTGAACCCGAAGCCCTCAACCCTAAACCCCCGAATATGGGGGCATTTTTTCATTACCACTGCTAGTTTGCGAAGTTGCTTATTATAATTATGGTACATCTACCACAATCCCCTATTCCAATTGCTAAGGCCCCTGTTTTAACTTGGGAGGCGCACCCAACACCCACAACCCTAAACCCTAAACCCTAACACCCTAAACCCCTAAACCCTGAACCCTAAAGCCCTAAACCCCGAACCCTAAAGCCCAACTTGGGAGGCGCACCAGCTCTTCGTCGATATCCCAGAAGCCGCCATCCTTAAGGGCTCGCCTGGCACAAGGAGGCATGGAGCCTCGGAACTTTAGCCTAGGGTGTAGGATTTGGCGAAATCTATACGGGTTACATCGGGTTACTATTAGGGTTCCTATAAGCGTTTGAGGTTTAGGGCTTGGGGTTTGGAAGATTTAGGTTTGAGGGTTTAGCTTAGGGCTTTGATGTGTCCTGCATTTCTTTGAACTCACTACTTCGGGAAATCAGACGCGATAAAAGCAAGCTGCCGTGTAAGGAACCCTCGACAAGGTACCCCGAATGTTACCATACTCACATGAAGTAGGCCCACCCTAATAAAACCGCAATCTGCAACCATCCAGCTCTGGAGCCTGATATATACACTCAGCACAGACGCTGGTATAAACCCTGCTTCACGCATATTCGTGGCCAGAGCTCTGGACTTAAGAGGCTGCAGGGTTCAGCCTTGGGGTTAACCACCCACTCAGTCTAGCCGTCCGAAATCATGGGATGCATGTTTTTACAGGTCTAGTTGCATCTTTAAGTTCGAGCGACGAACACAAATCCCCAGAGCCTGCTTGTTGTGAACGTTCTTATTCTAAAACCTATCGCAGAATTTGTAGGGGGACACTACAACAATCTGGCTTTGGTAGTTGAAGGCACCCCAAGTTCACAAATCACAGAATGCTACAAGTGTCAGAATTGTAAGCCGCAGCAGCCCACCTCCAGTAGTTGGCGATCTCTACAAACTCCTGACATCGGGCCAATCTCCAGGAGACTCCGACATTCCGAAATACCACGTAAGTCGTAGGGCTTAAGGATTAGGGTGTGTGGACCCCTACTACTTGCAGGTTTGGGTAGGATGTACCATTAGCAATCCGCCAGCACACACGCAAGCAAATACATGATGGCATATACATATGTGTATACACACCATGTGCATAAATATAAACGTAAATGAATAAAATAAATAAACAAATAAATAAATAAATAAATATATATATATATATCTAAGAATTTACGACCACATTTGTGTATGCATGTGTTCATATATGGCATGAGTTGTACAGATGTTTGCTTGTGCTTACGTGTTCCATATACACACATATCTGCTCGCCCACAGATAGACAGATACATACATACATACATACATACATACATACATACATACATACATACATACATACACACACATGCATGTATATTATACATACATACATACATACATACATACATGCATGCACACATACATACATACAAACATACATACATACATACATACATACTTCCAGACATACATACATACATACATGCATGCACACATACATACATACATACATACATACATACATACATACATACATACATACATACATACTTCCAGACATACATACATACATACATACATACATACATACATACATACACGCATGCATGCACGCATGCATACACACGTGCACACTACATACATACATACATACATACATACATACATACAAACATACATA